CCCAGACCCCCCTACATTGTACATAGAGTTGTTTATCTACAGATTACACGATCTTGACCCTTGTCACTTTTTACTTGTCGAGGCTGGGGGGTTCCGCCCCCCAGACCCCCTTTCTCCAAGACAGAAGTGGTCTTCTGCAGAAATCTCTATTTTTCGCCGTTTTTTAGGGGTTTTTCGCCTATAAAAACTGAACCAGTGAGCTAGGATAGTGAAATTTTGCGTGTGCCGAGCGAAGGACATACCTAAGAAGTGTGCAAAATCTCACCGAGATCGGCCGAGCCGTTCAGGAGGAGTAGTGCGGACAGACAGACCGACAGACAGACCGAAAGGCAGACAGACAGACAGACAGACAAAACTTTTCAACCCCCCTGGAGTAACAGGGTTCGCTATCGCTCAGCCAATAATTTTTCTGCCAGGATTCTCTGTAGCCCTCTTAGCAATATTTTCGGCTCTTACAGTTTTCTCCGTAGGACCGCACAGTCTTCTCCGTAGGCCCTGGAAGACTGTATAGCCGTACGGAGAACACTGTAAGGTCCTACGGAGAAGACTGTGCGGTCTTACGGAAAATACTGTAAGAGCCTACGGAGAATACTGAAAGGGGCCTACGGAGAATTGCCACAACCTGTTTACAGAATTTTCTGTACCTTTTGGCCACAGTGTGCGTGCGCGCGTGTGTGTGAGTGTGTGTCCGCACTACTCCTCCTGAACAGCTCGGCCGATCTCGGAGAGATTTTGCACACTTTTGGGCCCGTCCCGTTAATTTATTGTAAAAAAATGACGGAGGGACGGGCATATAGTATGATCCCTACTGTGCGTCCGTCCGAGGACTTCCCGTGGTCCGATCTTGACCAAATTTGGTATGCAGCCTCCTTGGGTGACCCTAAGAACTGCCCGGTGGCAGCAAATCCGATCCGAGCCCCGGGGGCGCTGCTGCAGGTGCATCATGGTCTACATGGGGTCGAGGAGGATTTCGGCGACGGATACAGCTGGGCATGTAGGGGTATTTTTGGAATCGGGGCGACGAGACAAAACCAACGGTGCCAGCTTTAAGCGAATCGGAGAAGTTTGGACCCGGGTTCAAATCCCAGTAGGGTGTATTTTGAACATTCTTTTTATTCGAGTTGTTCCATTCTTTCTGATGTTTTTGAGGGTGCTGATGACAAAAATTTCATCTATTTTGCCCCAGACTCAGGTTCAAATCCCGTAAGGGTTTAACATAGGCGAAATTTGCACATTTCTTAATGTACGGGACGGGCCAAAGTTGCCGATGTGTATCGCAACTTTTCCTGTTATTGGGTATGTCTTTGGCTCGGCACACGCGAAATTTCATCCTAACTTAAGTGGTGCAGTTTTTATGGCCGAAAAACACCAAGAAAGGGCGAAAAATCGAGTTTTCAGCAGGCAGATCACTCCTGTCTCGAAGGTAGGGGGTCTGGGGGGGGCCGCCCCCCCAGCCACGACAAGTTAAAAAGTTACAAGGGTCAAGGTCGTGTTATCTGTAGGTGAAGCAACTCTATCTAGAACGAAGGGGGGTCGGAGCTCCCCAGCATGCAACAAGTTAGAAGCAACCGACGATGGGCAAGCCAATGCCTGCCGAAGGCAGGCTAGCGCCGCAGGCCAAGTTAGGTACGCCAGGCGCGGATTGGGGGAACAGGCCGCGAGACATCGCGAAGCCTGTTACGACAAGACGCGGTCTGGCGTAAACCTACCTTGTTAGTGCATGCTTGGCAGGCATGCGCTCGCTATACAGCGTGCTTGCAGGCATGCTCCAGTTAGAGCATACTATGTACACTCTTTGATTTGTAGAGTACGCACAATTACGGATGACTTAAAACTTTTCAAGCTGAAGTTAAAACGATAAAACAAGAAACCTTGTCTGCAAAGTAAGGCTCAAATTAAGGTCCTTCGTTCAAATCATCAAAAATAAATAGTTAAAGGAGAGGAAAATGTTATAAATGCCATACGCGGAATTCTAATTTCTGCAGGGGGGAAGCAGATAAGTATATCGAAAATCGTTAAGCAAATAATTTAAGTAAAAATCATGCCACGACGCGGAAATTTCTTATTTCTAATAGGAAGAGCTTATGGCTTTTACTTTTACGTTGGGGCCTCCGCCTTTTTAAAAGCATCGTTACGTTAAGACTGCTTCAACAGTGTGCCTCGAACTTCATTGAAAGGATCCATCGATCCTCGCTCTTGTTACGAATCCAAAACTAGAAACTCAAATCTGATCCAAATGCTTTCTCGTCATACACTCTCATTCCAGGAATGTGACACAACGCTCAAACGAACGTTATGAAGTGTCACGTTCGTTTGAGCGTTGTGCCACATTCGTTTGGATGTGAAGCGGCCAAAAATTAGCTTGTTCACGTTCAAACGAACGTGGCATTTTGCCACGTTCGTTTCAACGTGGTGTCACGTACTTGGTATAAGAGTGTAGTCATCTAATGATTTTTGTCTTTTCTTTTTCAGCACAACAAAATGTCAACCATCCGACTTGACCTGACCAGCCTGCTGTCTGTACTCAAGACGCGCGCAGACAGCGCAATAATTGTAGTCCCGGACAGAGGTCATGATAACCGAATCAAAGAAATAGGCGCCTACATGGAAGACAACGTCGGTCAAAGTAAGCTCACTAGCAGAAAAAAAGTACAACAAACCTAACTACAATTCCTAGCCAACATTTTATCACGGATGGACTGTGATTTCAAGATACAACAATATTAAGTACAATGAATCCGGCATGAATAATGCAGTCAAGTCCGGACTTCATTCTTTCTACAAATGAGGTAAACACCATAAGAAACGAGAACGAAACAGACAGGTTCTGCTGCACACAAGCTGCTGCACAAACACTTTATTGACATCACGTTACTGTCGTCATTTCATTTGGGGAGCAGGTGCCAAGATTCGGTCTAAAAATCCAGAATAAGATGAACAATGGGCACAGTTTTAACAGTGTAGTGCCCCTACAAACTTGATTTCTTTTAGGAGATTCCTTTAATTATTACTAATTTGGGCAGTTGGTTAAGAGCTATACATACAGTGTCATTGATAGATTTTTTC